ATCAAAGTCTGAGAAGTATCTTATTTCCTCCTTCCTTCCCCACTTTTAATAAAAACCTTCCACTTAGACCCCATAGGGGCATCTCATTCTCAAGGTCACCTGCTCTCATTTCTTGAGTGCATCCTATTGCTCTAATAAATTGACTGTGGTTTGCTCAATTTTTTCTGCCCTGCTTTTGAATTCTTTCATGTTCCATGACAAAAACCTGGACCAAGTTGAGGCTTCCTGTGGCCTCCCAAGGTGCCACCCACCATTAGCTTTTGAACCACGTAGCTATTCCTTGACACCCTATTGTTTTTAAACCTCACATGCTGCTGACATCTATACCAACTAGAAGTAAATTCTTTATGGTAATTGGTATATGTTGTCCTTCTTTAGTATCCCAGTTAATCATGCTAGCCAATACCATTTTGTCTTCACTTGGGAAGGAAAACAATTTACCTAGACAGTAATGTCTCAGGGTTTTATCAAAAGATTATTTTTTATTTCTCACAAATTCTGAAGACTGATTTAGATGATATAATTTTTTTCCAAAGGCTCCACCCTATTGCAATATACTTATTTTATTATTACTAACTCTCACCTAAGGAAATTTTTCCATTAATTTTTAGGGAGCGTGGAAGAGAGAGGGAACCCACTGGTCCACAGGCTGACACTCTATTCATTGAGCCAAAACCAGCTAGGGAATGATTTAATGTTTTTCTCTTCTTTTCCTGTTTCCTCACAGAAATATAGCTTCCATCTGTTGGAAATTTTGGCCTTAAAGAGACATAAGGTCTCCAAAGAGAAATTACAATTTGTACAAACTCAGGTTTCATATTTGGGACATTAATATTGGAATAATGACTAAACCCGGATCCAGATGGGCTTCATGGTATCCTAAGTTTCCCAAAGCCCTAAACTATATGTCAACTGCAAGGTTTTCCTGGGCTAGTTTGCTATTGCCAAAATTGCATCTCAGATTTCTCTCTTATGACAAAACCTCATGTTTTACTAAAGAATGATAGTCCTGATACAATTTTATGGGAAGAACAGGATGAAATATCCTTTCAAACCTCAAAGGACAGTTTAATAAAACTACCTGCTCTTATGCATCTTGACTATCAGCTTCGTTTTTTCTTTTTGTTCATGAAAAGAAAGGGAATGCCCTGGAGTACTCACTGAAAAACATGGCGATCACCACAGACTCCTTAAAATACTATAATCAGTCATTAAACCCAGTGACTTGAGATATCTCCCTTAGATCAGTGACTTTCAAACTTTCTCATCTCATGGCACACATTTACTAGTTCCTAAAATTCTGCAGCACACCAAACAATATATTATATTTTTTGCTGCACTAACAAAAAAATAAGTATAATTTTGAATTGTTTATACTAGACAGCTCTTGTTATGTTGCTGTTGTTACTTTTTTATTTGGCAATATAAGGGAAAAGAGGTCAGTGCCCTTAACTAAATATACAGGTCTTGTATGTTTTAAAAATTCTTGCAGCACATGAATGTACCTCTTGCAGTACACCACTGCCATGGCACACCAGTTGAAAATCGCTGCTTGAGAGCCATTGCTGCTCCTGCCCAGTTTATTAAGGTCACAGAGAAAATTGTTATTGGATCTCATCTAACTATCTTTGTACCTCATACAGTAGAAGCTCTCTTAAATTCTCATCACACCTGGCATTTTCAGTTAGTTGCCTTATTTTCCTATGAAATTCTTCCATTAGACACCTCCTACGTAAATATTTCACATTACAGTAACCTTAATCCAGCTATTCTTCCTTCTTCTGAAACTGATAAAGCACCTCATAACTGCCTGACACTGATGGGTCATATTTTTCAGGAAAAGAGGTCAGTGCCCTTAACTAAATAGACAGGTCTTGTATGTTTTAAAAATTCTTGCAGCACATGAATGTACCTCTTGCAGTACACCATTGCCATGGCACACCAGTTGAAAATTGCTGCTTGAGAGCCATTGCTGCTCCTGCCCAGTTTATTAAGGTCACAGAGAAAATTGTTATTGGATCTCACCTATCTTTGTACCTCATACAGTAGAAGCTCTCCTAAATTCCCATCACACCTGGCATTTTCAGTTAGTTACCTTATTTTCCTATGAAATTCTTCCATTAGACACCTCCTACGTAAATATTTCACATTACAGTAACCTTAATCCAGCTATTCTTCCTTCTTCTGAAACTGATAAAGCACCTCATAACTGCCTGACACTGATGGATCATATTTTGCAGGAGACTCCTCTAGGTAAAGCTGATTTCTCATGGTTTACTGATGGTTCATCCTTAAAAAATGAATATGGTAAGTACTGTGCTGATGATGCCATTGTAACCCCCTTTGAAGTGCTCAAGG